TGCCACTGATGTGAATCATTGCTCATAATATCACGCTCTGGTTTGTCTGGTCCAACAGACTCGAAATATATACAAATAGCTAATTTTTGCGGAAGTGCGACGTTAAACAACACTCACGAAACAAAGCCATTTCGGTGTATCCAACTAATGCGGGTTATGTATTCTTCGGATGATCCGTTTTCATTTTATAATCGACTGTATTATATGTTATCTATAATCTTTTCTTTATTCTTCGTTTATACCCTACCATAAAATTGCTTACCAATCAGGCATAGATATCCAATAGCTGGGCGTTGACTGTTTATAATGTTTTACTTCAATATATAACCATGTTGGCATCGTTCTGTTCTCCGCATTGTGTAGGCATCGATCACGTTCTTTCTAATCTCACCTCAATAGCTTCAGATCAGTTCGTGTGTATAGGAGTGTGTATAGAAGCAGAGGCTCATAGCGAGCGTATTACAGAGGACAAATAAAATCTGCAGTTATCAATACTGTGTTATGTACGAATGTAGTGTAATTCTAATATTTGCTGCTATCAATCAATAATGATTGGTTTTCAGTTCTATTTACAACATATCTAACATACGAATAATCGAAAAAACATTCAATTTGTCTCCTATGTGTACGTTACCCAAATACTAATTTGCAAACACCCATTCAAATGAGTTGCCATTTGTTCATGTTTCCATGAATTTGGATAGCAATGCCGTGTCTTTACATAAGAAATGAATTATAGGAACGGTGTGTGTTTCCTGGTACTAGGCAAATAACTGCTAATGTTATTTAGGGTATAACAAATATTTTCTTGTACCAAAGTATTGTACGATATGGTGTCTATTGAAATATGCGCCAGGGGATGAAGAATGGAACATAAATGTAAATACACACTGAGCTGAAATAAATCCTTTGTTTAGCATCCACTATTGGCACTCTGGAACCTTCAGATGTCTTGGAAATAGAATTAGAAATAGAAATGTATGCTTAATATATATGCACACACATACACACATGCTATTTTTATGTTTAAATGAAAGGTCTATGTCCAAACCTTTCTCTCTCGATATAATATTAGTGATGACACAACTTAACGATCTGGGTATGACACCCATTTGCATTTTAGTCTAAAGTTGGTACTTCGCTTTCCTCGAACTACGAATAACTCGATAGATATTCGATGGTCAAAGGACATCGAGTGAACGTGTATGTTGCTTTTTACATAACAGCATCAATATGTCCAGTTCTATCAAAAGGGCCTGAAATATATCGAGTCTGGACAAGGCAAACCAATGATGGATATTATATGCAATGATTCATGTCGTCATTGAGTCTGACCACTTGACTAATTCAGTTGCCTCTTTCCACCAGTTTGGCCCAGAAAACCAATTAGCTGATGTACTATCCGATCCAATTAAATCGTCCCTTACCCTTATCGTGAACAATGGATGTCATAAATGTTTTAAGTGATCCATTCCTATAGGTTTCACTGCTGTTTCGGTTTTTACACCAACTGGAATTTGTTCCTTCGGTTAATGGTAACAGGTTATTCTTTGGCGTTAACGTTTCATATTTACACGAAGCAATAGAATGCAGGTTGCCTTTGCTAACCAAGGTCCCCACGGGAATTCAATATAGGAGTGAGTGAGTGAGTATGGTTTTACGCCGCTTTTAGCAATATTCCAGCAATATCACGGCGGGGGACACCAGAAATGGGCTTCACACATTGTACCCATGTCGGGAATCGAACCCGGGTCTTCGGCGTGACGAGCCAACGCTTTAACCACTAGGCTACCCGACCGCCCCTCAATATAGGAAGAATAGATATCCACTCTACTTCAATTCGACCAAGTGAAATAAACAATGCCTGTCATCAAACAAGTTATTGAGTATTATTTGTTGCTTGTATGTATTATATTATATAATACTCTTCTGAATGTGCTTCTCAGTGTATGTATGGGATGGAAGTTGTATGCATTTTGTACAGTATTTAAGTGTAGTAAATGGTTTCAAGAGTCTGTATTTAGATGTTAACTAGAGCCTTGAAACTCACAAGAGACGAGTCATCCCATTACATATGAATACCATAACGTTTACTGAACTAAAATGTACCTTCTCGTCCCATATGATATGAATAGATTTGTAGCACGATTTGATCACCGAATATTTTGTCTACTTTGCTCAGTCCGCAAAGGGTGAGGTAAGCTACGAGTCTTTTGTCCCACTGGAAATGTCACTTTTCTTTAATGTGCGGCAAACTCTGAAAATATGAATTGTTTGACAGGCATTACTCAGAAGTTGACGGATGACAAAGTAGAAACAATTTATGGATAACAACTTCTTTAATTACTCTAAAGGCGAAGTTCTGTATAGATCCTTGTACCGTTGTCAAGCAAGACTGAGTGATGAACATGGTACAGCATATATATATAGCAGGTGGAGGATTAACAGTAACAAGAACAGCAGAAACAACAATTGCATACGAGCGAGAGATGAACATAGGTAGGTTAAGTAATGGCAACGGAGGGATAACACTGTAACAACATGATGGACAAAGAACACATGATTATATAAACCATTAAAAAGGATAAGTATATATAGGTAGGGTGATTATTGCTGAATGAGTTCATAGTAGGCTCTTAGTAGGGTATTGAGGGAGCTGGACTACTAAGAGCCAAACGCCAAGAACCAAAGGTTGTAGTTGTGGACAAGCCTACGTAGGTGAAACATCCCGCCCCATCAACAACAGAATCAAAGAGCACAAAACTTCAACCATCAAATCATATAGTAAATCAGCCACCTCGTACCACTGCCCCAATGACAACATCAGCTGGAAAATTCATGTTAATCTCTCGCTTATATGTAATTATTGTTACTGTAATTGTTGTTACTGTTAATCCTCCACCTATGTATTTGGTACCATGTTCATCATTCTGTTTTTCTTGACAAAGGTATAAGGATCTATAATGAAACGTCGCCTTTACAGTATTTAAAGAAGTTTGTGTCCATACATCGTGTCTACTTTGTCTGAAAGTGTGGTAGAAAATCAGCCTTTATGACATTTTAGCTATACAACAACTTCTTTATTACAATTAAGAGCGACGTTTCGGTGTAGGTTCTAACACCGTTATCAAGCATTCTTTTTTAAAATTAAGAGCAACGTTTCGGTGTAGGTTCTAACACCGTTATCAAGCATTCTTTATTACAATTAAGAGCGACGTTTCGGTGTAGGTTCTAACACCGTTATCAAGCATTCTTTATTACAATTAAGAGCGACGTTTCGGTGTCGGTTCTAACACCGTTATCAAGCATTCTTTATTACAATTAAGAGCGACGTTTCGGTGTAGGTTCTAACACCGTTATTAAGCATTCTTTATTACAATTAAGAGCGACGTTTCGGTGTAGGTTCTAACACCGTTATCAAGCATTCTTTTTTAAAATTAAGAGCGACGTTTCGGTGTAGGTTCTAACACCGTTATCAAGCATTCTTTATTACAATTAAGAGCGACATTTCGGTGTAGGTTCTAACACCGTTATCAAGCATTCTTTATTACAATTAAGAGCGACGTTTCGGTGTAGGTTCTAACACCGTTATTAAGCATTCTTTATTACAATTAAGAGCTACGTTTCGGTGTAGGTTCTAACACCGTTATCAAGCATTCTTTATATTAATTAAGAGCGACGTTTCGGTGTAGGTTCTAACACCGTTATCAAGCATTCTTTATTACAATTAAGAGCGACGTTTCGGTGTAGGTTCTAACACCGTTATCAAGCATTCTTTTTTACAATTAAGAGCAACGTTTCGGTGTAGGTTCTAACACCGTTATCAAGCATTCTTTATTACAATTAAGAGCGACACTTCGGTGTAGGTTCTAACACAGTTATCAAGCATTCTTTTTTACAATTAAGAGCGACACTTCGGTGTAGGTTCTAACACCGTTATCAAGCATTCTTTATTACAATTAAGAGCGACACTTCGGTGTAGGTTCTAACACCGTTATCAAGCATTCTTTATTACAATTAAGAGCGACGTTTCGGTGTAGGTTCTAACACCGTTATCAAGCATTCTTTATTACAATTAAGAGCGACGTTTCTGTGTAGGTTCTAACACCGTTATTAAGCATTCTTTATATTAATTAAGAGCGACGTTTCGGTGTAGGTTCTAACACAGTTATCAAGCATTCTTTATATTAATTAAGAGCGACGTTTCGGTGTAGGTTCTAACACCGTTATCAAGCATTCTTTTTTACAATTAAGAGCGAAACTTCGGTGTAGGTTCTAACACCGTTATCAAGCATTCTTTATTACAATTAAGAGTGACGTTTCGGTGTAGGTTCTAACACAGTTATCAAGCATTCTTTATATTAATTAAGAGCGACGTTTCGGTGTAGGTTCTAACACCGTTATCAAGCATTCTTTTTTACAATTAAGAGCGAAACTTCGGTGTAGGTTCTAACACCGTTATCAAGCATTCTTTATTACAATTAAGAGTGACGTTTCGGTGTAGGTTCTAACACCGTTATCAAGCATTCTTTATTACAATTAAGAGCGACGTTTCGGTGTAGGTTCTAACACCGTTATCAAGCATTCTTTATTACAATTAAGAGCGACGTTTCGGTGTCGGTTCTAACACCGTTATCAAGCATTCTTTATTACAATTAAGAGCGACGTTTCGGTGTAGGCACACAATGTTCCAGTGCCAGTGCGTAACGCGTCAAAACACCATTTAAAGGTCGCTGTGTGGGAAGCATAGAGCATAATGTTGACTGAGGACGTGGTATTTTTAGTAAATTCCTCAGCTTTATTTACGATATGAGATTCGATGTTAGGGTATCATTCAAGTCTTTGAAACTGACCACCCGTTCCCCTTTTAAGTCGATTCTTAGGACAAGCACAAGGTAAATGTACTGGGATCTAATTATGACCCGAAATATTCACAAGTTAGTTCCCTTGGACTACTAGCTTATTTTTTAAAAACATTTAGCTCTACTCTTTTGTTACAGAGCTAAGAAGAACAGAGATGGCTTCTAATTATAGCTCCGTCATATCTGGCAAAGACAAGAAAAGCACTTCTGTATCCACAAGCTGTGACTCTCATTCCAGTCGCCAGGAACAAATGAAACAGTTCTTCCAGGAACGTCAGATGGATAATAATGAGAGTAAACAGACGACGCCAGCATCTTGTGTTAAAGCTCAGTCCTCCACGAATCCGCCTCCCAACTCATCCGGGCAGGTAAAGAAAGTGCAGAACATGATGACAGAACTGGAACTTATGTGACCTTCACCTCCTTCCTTGACCTTCAACTTCCTGGAAGGCATGACCTTCACACCCTGTGACAAAAGTCATGTCATTCTTTTCAATCTGCCACTGCAGTTTAAGGACAACGTCAGTTGGTTGGCCTACTCTGACTTAAATGGATGAATCCTTCCTATTCCAGATATCCACATCAACAGTCAGTGTGTAACAGCGGGGCTAATAAATCACTGTCATATGTGTACTAGTTGAATTGTTAATGCAGCCAGAATCAGTTTAAGGAAAGAAATGATCACAAGCTTGCGCCTGCTGAAAGAGGCTGTCTGTGATGTTTTCTTAACTCTCAACCACATTTGCAGTCATACAAAATATTCAGACTGTCGCCGGACGTGTATACTTCCGAACATTATTAGGAATGGTATTTATCGAATAATATATTGTACTTGAAAGCGCCTGAAAACTAAATAGGATTCAGACTGTTGGAAAAAAAGAAATTTTCTGCAACACTTTTTGCAAGATTGTTTTAAACAGATATTTAGGCTCAGAGTTTCAACTGAAGCTGAAAAATGTCTCAGTCCCCCACCTCCACCCCTAGAATATCAATTGGTCGCTCCCTTATGATCCAACACTTTCTGCCAATCCTGCATTAACAAGCGACCTGGTCTGTTTCACCTCTTCATGGCTAATTGGTTTCAACATGGGGATACTTCCATGTTAACCCTTTACAAGAACTCGCATGTTGGCATCCTCTGGCCTCTTTCAGAGACCCGGCCTACATCATACTAATTTGGTTTTGCCTTGGCCTCCAGTAGCGGACATATTGGATGCTTTGAGACCATACTGAATGAAGCCACAATGAAGTGATATTGAGACATCGCCTGTATAACTTTTTCAAATTTGAGATTTGAATGAACTTTCAAACCTACACATTGCAACAAAGTAACACACTACCATAAGCTGCACATTCTTGTGAGCAAAAGCAGTTCCATTTGTTTTAGCTATAATATATTTTCTTGTTCTTGGTATGAAACATTGATTTGATGTGAAATGACACAGAGAACTATACCTAATATCAATAATTGAGTGTGAGTGAGTTGGGTTTAACGCCACTTTTAACAGTATTCCCTTTATATTGCGGCGTGTCAGCTTAATGTGGGAGGAAAGCCCGAAGTGATGCACGTTTCCTATGTTTACCACTTCGGTGAAACCCACGAGCACGGGTAGGGTGTTGTCAAACCTAGAAACATAATCGAGCGAACCGGGATTCGAACACACATTCATTGGTTCTGGCGTGCCTAAGGGACCCAACTCTGCACAGCGAATCGCGGCGCCTTCCGTGGCCATCCGTGCCCCCTAATATCAATAAAAGAAACCCAATCTACATTTGCAAGGTCAAATACACTGTACAATATTCAGTTGACTCACTCTAATATATATTTATCATATAATTGGTAGGTTTCTTGGCAGGATGAAGCTAATGGACTACTTCAGTATCAGTGTCAGTCGCCGATCCAGTCAGACTTACCCATCGGGAATCTGGAGAAACTACTGGGATAATTGCTATCATTTTAAAAAATAGTTCTCCTTATCCCCTACATACTTAATCAAGACACAACACCATTAACATGGGAATACGCTGTGTGATACACGGCCGATTTATTTGCGTATAGTATAAGACAAAGATATTCATTGATACACATTTGTATATACATTGTCAGCAATCTGCTATGAATATTTATATTTTGCTGAAGCCCGACACGTTACACCAGATATAAAAACTTTTATAAGAAAACATCTGGAACCGTGTTCCTCAACGGATGCAGCAGCAAATACTGGAGGGTATACAGTATACTCATGACATGTATATGCAAGTCCAAACAGAAATACTAACAATTCATGAACATTTGTTACAAATGAATTTCATAATTTATTACATGCAGTGCAACTCGCATAGTATATGCAGTATGATCAAAAGCAACACTGTATTAAAAAAGCCCGCCGGCCAAGCAATATCATTGCATCCAACAATGCACTCTTTCTCAATAAAACAACGTTGTATTATAAAGGCTCGCCATCCAAGCGATATCATTGCATCCAACAATGCACACTTTCACAATAAAACAATGCTGTATTATAAAGGCCCGCCGGCCAAGCAATATCATTGCATCCAACAATGCACACTTTCACTATAAAACAACGCTGTATTATAAAGGCCCGCCGGCAAAGCAACATCACTGCATCCAACAATGGACTTTCTCAATGAAGTAACGCTGTATTGTAAAGACTCGCCAGCCAAGCAATGGCATCACTTACAACAGTACACATTACCCTCAAATGTGTATTCCCTTTCAACGACTATCTGCAACACATAAAATCATAAAATGAAGAACAATTTTAATATTCATGTTCATCAAATAAATATAAGAAACAAGTGTGAGGCCGTGTATGCACAGTGAGCGAGAGAGAACAATTCAAAATTGTACTACCCCTTATATACCCCCTTAATCGCGCCACCTAGGGGCACATAATCACCTTGATTGACATACCGCTAGGAGAAAATAATTTCTATCTTATTCATTCTTCAAACGAGAGAAATATTATTGTAATGTACTAAAAATCAGTGTCAAACTGTGACGGATCTAAGACATTTTACAAGTTTTGGCAACTTTAGAGATATAAATTGCGAAACAATTTAGCAAGGACACTAGCCTAGCAGGATCAGTTTCCATAGCTGTGCTTGTAGACCTCTGCGGCCTGGAACCTTTTCCCCAAATTAAAAGAGTTGGATTTGGCCGAAATATGTCCAAATTGTTACCGTCTTTCGTTTTGTGTGTACACCTGACTGCATTCCGTAACGTTATGACAGGACAGGCAGACTCTTGATAAACGTGACGTCTCATAGACAAGGGTTTGAGAAGCTTCCTTTTGATAAAGGGAAGTAAGTCTGGTGGACAGACCGATGGATTGCCGCAAAAGGCAAGTAGAAACAATTGCTACCTACTTGACACCCAAGAAGAATTTACTACTGGCGATTCTTGACAAGTTTACCCTGAAATGGTTCTGTTTGTCTTTGCTTAATGCTACACTCGACAGTATTCCAACTATACGATGGGCGTCTGTTAATAAAGCCAGTCTGTTAAATGAGGAAAGAATTTGTAACCATGCATCAGAACTATCAACTTCCGATTTGACTCGAAAACCTGAAGACTAGCTATCCCTCTTTTGTTCTGGGCTTTTTTGGCACAAATTTCAATCATTGTAGTGGTCATGTGGTTGCAAATTCATATACAAATTTACCCAGACACATATTATTTTTTACAAACTGTTGCAGGAATGAGTGATGGTTAGATAGACGTATTCATATTTAACAACAGTTAACATAAAAAAACAAATTCGTTATACTCCCTTTTTCCCCTCAGTGTGTTAGAATTCCAAGAAACAGTTCCCTTTCCCTAGTGTAACGCGATCTTGCACCTGGAAGGAATAAAAATAAATTTACGTTTCTTTTTTATTAAGTGGGCGGATCTTGTCAAAAGCTGCACACTTCATTGCAATGTCCCACGTTGAGTCAATTGTTTTATTCATACGCAACCCTTACAACAGAAACGACCCAGAAGTTACAAAATGTGATAAGTGTACATGAATAATGGACTTAATGACTTTTTTACAACTCGTGTATTTCAAAACGTGTATCTGTTATCGACTTAAGATACGCTTTGAACTACACTCATTGTAAATATACGTTATCAAAGAGGTTATGTGTACAATAGGAACAAAGCAAAACAATATGTTGCAGCAGTGGGGTAAATTATTGAGGCAATAACTTTCATAAATTGTTTTTGACGTTTCTGTGGAAAGGAGACACAATTACACGTACGTCCATTTTCCATATACGGAAAAATCGAAGTTTTCGCATTGGCTGTGAAAATAAGCTAGTTGTTCAGTGATACGGGGAATAAGTTAATATTTTCTACAGGTTATTTACTGTTAACACATGTAATAAATGCTCAGCACTAATGGTTGAGGAAACGTGCTATAAGGTCTGAATAAAAAGCGGCAAAGCCCTTTCCTGTTTGTTTGTTTGTTGTTTAACGCCGCACTCAGCAGTATTCAAGCTGTATTACGGCGGTCTGTAAATAAACTTAATGTTATAAGGTATACATCAGTGAATCTTGAATACCGTTGGCGTAACTGCTATGTATATTTTAATGCTGAGTCGTTTAGAAAAGATAATATAAATGGACTCAACATACATCCTTGGGGTACATCAAATCTTTGCTACTAAATTCATTCAGATTAAACCGGCACCCTATTAACAACGTTGTAAGAATCAAACGCTTTAGAAAAAAATCAACAAAGAATAAACATTCCATATTTCTTACTTATAAAACGCTGTATCAGAGATAGTTGAATACCTTTCCCTAAAACCAGTTTGATATACATAGAATAGCATTCGTCATATACCAGAGCTATTCACTCGTTTCATAAAATTGGTCTTACACCGGGTGCACGTCAGTATTGTATGTATTACTTGCCGTTCAGATTGTTTTTAAATTTCACTATCGTGTGTAAACAGGCACATATCTAATCGATCCATAGCATGTTAATCAAGTTGAGTTTAACAGAATGATACTTCAAACACGTTAAAAGTCGATAGTACAAACTTAATACCTTACAACGAACTAACTTTAGAATTCAGGGGTCCGTTCCACAAAGCTATCGTAGCTCCCATACTGTGACTTAGGACTGTCGCTGTACTACGATCGCTTTGTGGAACGAGGCCCTGCATCACAAAGTTTACAAACATGTCACAATATCCTATGACGTAATTTGGGAAATTGTTGCAAGAATCACCGGCGAAACAATGCCATGTGACGCCAGCCTAGCAACAGGGTTGCTCGGGTCATCGAGTGTGCATAACCTCTGCTCAGTGATCTATCATCTCTACACGCAATGTCATTGAATAATCCCAGAGATGTTGGAAGTTTTCAATAATTGTTAGTGAACCTGTTTCCGGCAGTACATCAGCACGCGCTTTGGTATTAAACACTGGGTAATACCATGTTATTGTTACTGATCGAGTAATAAGCAGAAATATTATCCATATTATCGGCCTACGTTACAAGTCGATTGTAAATAATACAAGTAAAACCTTTATTAAAGATACATACTAGCGTTATCACTCTGTGATTATCAAAATTATCTGAATCACCTGTCTTATGAAGAGGACGTAAAATACC